CTTAAAGTTGACAACTATGTAGGTTAGGAAATCTGTCACAGCCACGAAATTCATTACTTTAAATTTAAATTCACTTTAACGCTTACGCTTAATATCTCGGTTCGCGAGGCAGAGCGACAATTTTTTTTGCCAGATTTCTTCGTTTCATGCAAAAACGCATCGATTGTATATTTTTATTAACAGTTGTGATGAAGGGAGTCTTCTTAACATTTACCTATTTTTACAATATAAGTATCATAATAAAATTTTCAATTACGATGCCGACAAAGTGTGAAAATAAGACTACGGAAACTAGTATTTATTCAGTACTATTAATTAGGTTAACCCGTCAAAATACGTATGCGCGTGCTAATGTATGCGCATGTGTCGCACGGGTCACGCGGTGCGGTTCTCGAAAACGCTATAAGTATCATAATTAGGTTAACCCGTCAAAATACGTATGCGCGTGCTAATGTATGCGCATGTGTCGCACGGGTCACGCGGTGCGGTTCTCGACGCATGCGTATAATGCACATCGAAATTGGGGTCCACTTTTTCAAACGAGTTAACAGCTAGTAGTATATATAGAAGCTGTGTGGTGGACACCCCTGCCCTATACGTGCTCATAGATCACACATATGTATCACTACATACATACATACGTGTGATCTATGACCACGTGACAGTCAATACTTCTAACTTTTCCCGCAAGGCGTGATGGCAATAAAATCACATCTGCCGGATTTTCCATGAGTTTTTCTACACCGTGTTTCGAGCCCACTTTTTTCGTGACCGGCCGCTTGAGTTTGATCTCCTTATTACTCCGTGATTCCAAAATTCACTGCCAGTGCTGAAAATGTATAGTATACGTAATGTAAAGGCCGCAGCACACACTCTTGCATAACGCATAATGCATAGTGCAAAGGAATCAACCAATCGAAATTCTTCTTTTCCATGGAATGGGAGGAAAGAGAAGATTCTGATTAGTTGATTCGCTTATGCACTATGCGTTATGCGTTATACAAAAGTTTGTGTTGCGATCTTTAAATTGTAGATTTTTAGCGCTGGCAGTGAATTTTGTAACACAGCCTACATCTGTTTGCGTGTACTTTTTGCTTTCAGCACTTTCGCTTTCTCTCTTTTCAACGCCCAAATGTGTATAATCCAAATGCTGGATTCACACTGCATCCGATTTGCGTCGTATGACACTCTTCAATCAATCAAAAAACAGAATTCCGATTATACGAAGTAGAATCCATCGGCATCCTGTTTTCTGATTGGTTGCAGCGCGTCGTACGACGCAAATTGGATGCAGTGTGAATCCAGCAATAGACATAGAGAATGGACTGTGCGATCCGTGTGTCGTAATGGTCGATAGGGAGAGAGAGACCGTGACAAGCGGCCAATTTTATCTCTTTCCATTCAATGGTGTAATGGGAGAGAATGAGAGGGAGACTGGCTGTCTCCGGGGTGATCCCGATTGACCACGTCTCGATTGGACACCACCAATCACAGCGACCGGTGCTTAGGAGCTTTGTAGTCTCAAGCGCTGTGAGTGGCTTGTGTTCAATTGAACCGTGTCCAACTGGGTGCCACCCGCTGTCTCCCACGGTCCCTCTCTCTCATTATTGTCAACCACATTTGATACACTACTTGGATACGGATTGCGCAATCTATTCTTTATTGCTGGATTCACGTTGCATCCGATTTGCGTCGTACGACGCTCTGCAACCAATCAGAAAACAGAATTCCGATGATACGAAGCAAAATCTATCGGAATCCTGTTGTCCGATTGGATGCAGAGCATCGTACGACGCAAATCGGATGCAGTGTGAATCCAGCATATGTCTTTGGTATAATCTATCTCATTTATAGCGTTTTCGGCCCGATCGGGTTTGCACCAACCTGGGTTGAATTAATCTTTCCTATTGGTTGACGTCACCCGCTCTACCAATAGGAGAGCACAAAACGCCATTAATCCAAGCCAGGTTGGTGCAAACCTGGCCGGCCCGAAAACGCTAAAGTGGGGTCTACAATAGAAGTCGTAGCAGTCGTAGAGTCTTAAGTAGTAGAAAATTAACCAATCACAGTACAGCCATTGACAAAATTATTAGGCACCTTATTTATTTAACAATTTCTTCAATTTATAAGGAAATAAATAACACGCTTTAAATATTTTGCTTTATATATCGATCTTCTCTGGCAGTAGTCTTTCGTTTTCTTCCTCTTCCAGATCTGGATTTAAACTGTTTAGTATCATTATATCTTTTTATTGTAGTTTGAACTGCGCAACGGGAGCATTTTATTTTTTTTTGCTATTTGCACTTGAGATAATCCTACGGAATACAACACAATAATCTGAGCCCGTTTTCCTTCACTCAACTCGCGTGTTTTAGGCATATTTTGAAATCTCGGATAATATGTTAACAATAATAAGATAAAGAATTGCCTAGCAATTGCTCGAAACAAGACTGATAACGTCCGTATTATTCGAAGTCGAAATGCACACTAAACAGTTTTGTACATATTATCATTTCTCTAAGAAACTTATATGCCTCAGTTGCTTGACCTTCTCACAAAGTCAGTAGCATGAAAACAACACGCAAACAGAGAGCTTATGCACATTGAGGCTGGAGTCCCATGAGGTGTATTTACCGCGTATCACGTAACCGCGTAACCAATCAGAAGCGATCCGCTGTTGTGATTTCGTGTTTTACTGATTATTGATTGGTTACGCGGTTACGCAATACGCGGCAAATACGCTTCATGGGACTCCACCCTCAGTTGTGAAAAATTTAGAAAAAGCAAGGGTGCCTAATAATTTTGTCAATGGCTGTATCAGAAACCGTGTATTCCGATGTAATCAGTTTCTGATAGGTTAAAATCTTAATATCTAATTCCTGTTCCTCTATTGTGCTCAGGCCCTTACAGGAGGAACGTAGTAGACATTAAATATAATATATAACACGTTGTTCAACATCAACTTTATGTATAACTCGTAGAGATGTTGTATACTTAATTGTAATCGTAATTAAATACAATAAAATACAAATCTATTCAATTCTAATCTCTGATTTTTCTCTCTTTTTTTTATGCATTCTCTGGATACACATAAAAGAGATTTTCGATGTAAGATCTTTTCTATTATCTTTTTTATTATTCTTTTATAGTATTAATATATATCTATTATATTATATATGTATATCACATACATATTATAATAGAAAAGATCTTGCATCGAAAATCTCTTTTACATGTATCCAGAGTATGCATTAAAGAAAAAGAGAGAAAAATCAGAGGTTAGAATTAAATAGATTTGTATTCTATCGTATTTAATTACGATTACAATTAAGTATACAACATCTGTACGAGTTATACATAAAGTTGATGTTGAACAACGTGTTATATATTATATTTAATG